CACTAGGTAGATTGCCAGAACTTAAAAAAAATCCATCTTTGCAAAAATGTAAGAATTCATATTAGAAAAGAATAAATGGGATCTGGAACAACTAGACCCACCATTCAAACAAGGCTAATGTTTGCTTTAGCCGCTGAGGTTCCATATATCCAGCAAATGCCCCTGCACATCAATTTGAAATAATCAAAATTTATTATGAATGTTAACTTAAGTGACAGACATACATTGAATCGTTGTAATAGAATAACAAAAGCAGCAAATAAACTTTAAGTGGCAGACATACATTGATTGCTGACCACCCACCACTCAGTTGTAACAGCCATAAACTCAACTGGAATTAAATACGAAGAAGGCAACTTATAGGCTGCCTCAAATAATTTTGTGAGCTAAAGTATGTAATTCCTTCAAATTACAATTACCAGCCACACAGGAGCGAATACAAACTTGCAACGGAATCAATAAAGCACATCAGATAAATAAATATGTATATATTTCTGTTAGGGTAGCCATATCTTTGCCTCTATATTCAAGTTGCATCTGAAAGTGACTCTAAAATTTCGCACCATGAATATGCCAAGCCTATTCAGTGTGTTCTTTAGACAGGTGACAGGATGAGTCTATGAACAGAGCAATAGAGATCTAAGTTTGGGACTAAACCTAACATTACATACAGATATTTTATAGCAGAAATTATAAAAATGGCAAGAGAAGACTATGACACGCATCAGCGAAACTGACTATAGAATGGAGTTGAATAACAACACATACTGATACAACTCTGGAAGCAACGATGGATGAAGGCCATAGATGCAAACCTGGATCGCTCCCATCGGCATAACCTACACGGAACTGAGGGAGCGCTCTAGTACGACGCAGCCTCTTCTAGCAATGGATAGGATCATTAAGCAACCTCCCTGGTGAGTGAGTGAGGCAGGTCTAATGGCACAATTCCTACCAACATCCATTGTAACAACGTGACGTCATCATTGCCGGCCTATGGCCACCACACGAAACAAGAAAACAACATCACCAAAGCAGAGGTTTCTAATAATGGATCAAGGGGGAAAACGGTTCAGATGAAGGCCATGATATACCTGATGGACTGGAGTTGCATAACTCTCTTCTGATGCACAATTTGCTAGGTACTCAGCATGGTATTCTTGGAAGTAATTATCCATCTGAGCATAGGTACTATGAGTGCTCATAACACCTTTCATTCCTACATTTGCAACGACTATACTGTCAGCGCTAAAAGTTTACAGATGGATAATGAGAAACTTTTGAGAGTGTCTATGTATGTCTCTTCAAAGAGATTGGGACTATTACAAGATAGTGGGACCATGAGGACTGCTACCAATTTGGAAACATGATAAATTGAAGGTTCTAGGAACTGGGTTATCGCTTATGGTATAAATTAACCAAGCAAAGATAAATTGAGGGTCCCAGGACTGCTAAACTCTAAACCCTCAATTTATTTGGTGCCTTTTTATTCTGTCACAGCGATTCACTAAATTCCTCTCTACTAAATAAAATGTAAATTCAGGAATTAAATGTCCCATGAACATTATGCATACTATAACTCAGTACATGAAGGAAGTCCAAGGGCCCAAAATGATTACCTTGATGGGATAAGCTTTCTTGCTTTCAATGGAAGAGGTCACCATGGCAGGCTGCTCCTAAATTTCTTGAAAAGCCTATAACTGCGACCACTAAGGCACTAAGGAGCAGTTGTGGTATTAATATATAGTTGGAAATTAAGCAAAGACAAAGTAGCAGGAGATATAAGAAAGAAATGGTACCAACTCTAAGTTGTTGGTTAGCAAACCATGCTGGTGGAGAGGGCAGTGAGGACTAATGAGCTGCAAAGAAATATAAAAATATCTAGATAAGATTTTTGAAAACTTTGGAATCCCTGCATCCAGGCCACGAATCAGTGTAGGAGGACTCATTTATGCGTTCAAATCTAAATCTCATCCAATTCATGGTAGTAGCAGAAAGAGTAAAACAAAATAGAATATCAGGCATGGACAATGTAGGTAGGCATTGATAATTCTATACTAGGTCTATATGCAGAACACAATTATTTAGCTTCACATCCATGAGGACCAACTAATACCGTGAAAACAGAGAACACATGGGGAAAAGCGAAGCTGACACAGATGTCCTGAACTTTTTGTAAGATGGAATGGAAAGGAGGTCACCTGACCCTATGATTGAAACAAGGGCAGGCCCAATATTTTTCTTTCTGATTGTTGTGCAAACTAATCTACCAGAAATGAATGCCTTTTAGGCCTCTCTATAGCAACTCTAAATGAATTAATGTGCATGCTCAACAAGATGCTTGAACAATCTGATAGGAATGACATACCAAATGAATATCTAGCATATTGCTTTAGGGAAATTATATACAAGCTCAGTCATCTCCAACTGGTATAAAGGGTCATGATATAGTAGCTGTGGCAAAGACAGGTTGTTCATCTAAAACACTGGCCTATCTCCTCCCAGGGTTTATTCTTGTGGAGCGCCTGAAGCATAATTCAAGTGAAGGTCCAACAGTATTAGTTTTGTGTCCAGCCAGGGAATTGGCAACATAAATTCAAGATGAAGCAATCAAGTTTGGCCGATTTGAAGAATATCTTCTATTGCGTGTTGCTCTGTATTTTCTGATATAGGAATCATGCCCGCTCATATACGTGAAGAACATTAGAATTGCTTACACAACTATTGAAAGGGAATAAAAAATTAACTGAAACCAGATCACCTTGGTCCAATAGTGGTTACAAAAGAGAAACATGGAAACCACTGGATCGCATCTGAAAGAAAAAGAAGGGTGCATTAATATAGTTCAATTTCAAGGATAGATTACTCCAAAGATTTTACAAATAAAATTAAGACTTTCTCTAGACAATAGAAGCATGACAGTAATCGAAAACTAAAGAGAATCCCCAACTAAAATTAGTTGCAAGCTGGTAGCATGGAGAAGGTGTCCCTTTCATTAACTCTACAATATTAGCAAGGCAAAACTGATATCCAAAGCAAGTTAGTTGGTCGAAGCTGCAGCACAAAATTTAGGACAAAATAAACATCCTCATAATTTCCAACATTTGAGTGGTCTGCAACTTGGCTAAATCGGATTGAACAAACATTGTGCGTGCTTGTTATCTCTCTACTTGCGACAAGAAAGAAGGGCAAAGGGGCAGCAGAACCAAACCTCAGAGAAACTCATCGTGGTGGCCTGACCCTTGTTCCAATAGTCATCTCCATCAACAAATCGCCCGTCCCCGGCGTCGGTGAGGGAAGGGGAGAGGAAAAATGGAGGCAACACACCCTCACCTAGGGCTGGTCGCGACTGAGGCCTCTTGCACCGGGACGGCCGCATCCGTGCCGCCGCGCTAGGGCTTGCTCGTGTCGGGAGGGGCGGAGCAGCAGCGATGGCACTGGGGCCACGCCGCCGGGGCGGCCAGCGTCGCGTGCGCTGGGACGGCCGCGCTGCTGGGGCCAGTCGTCGTCCGTGCCGCCACGCTAGGGCTTGGTCGTGTCGGGAGGCGTGGAGCAGCAGCTGTGGCACTGGGGTCGCTTCGCCGGGTTGCCGGCGTTGCACGCGCCTGGGGTGGCCGCGCTGCTAGGGCCGGTCGCCGGCCGATGCGGCCCGGTGCGTAGGGAGCAGGAGGAGTCGCCGTTGGGGGAGGAAGAAGCGGTGGAGACGAGGAGGCTACAGGAGAAGTGGAAGAGAGGATGAAGATATTTTTGTGTGGAGCCCATGGGAGGTTGAAGAAGGTGGCTGCTATATATACAGCGGGCATTTGTAGGGGTGGCAATTGATTCAGCCACCCCTACAAATGGACACAGCAGGGGCGGCTCTACATACCAGTCGCCCCTACAAATCTATGCATTTGTAGGGGCGGCTCGTATTACCAGCCGCCCCTACTGTGCCATTTGTAGGGGCGGCTGCTGTGCTGGAGCCCGAGCACGCCACTGTAGGGGCTGCTCCAATGCCAGCCGCCCCTAAAAAAAACCCGTTGCTACAAATTGTTTTTCACGTAGTGAAAGAGGTATGACTATAACAAGCTATAGCTTTTGTTCTATGAAATTAATTAAGGTTATTGTTGCTTTTGTAACATGGGATCGAGCTTTGCATGTTCACCACTATTATATATATATACTGCTCTATTAGTTCATAGTACAATATTATTAGCCACATACTATTATAGTGTCATTTAAGGAACAAGGTGTGTGCAGCTTCAGTCTTCAGATGAGCTCCACGTACATGTTATTACTTGGCAGTTGTTGAGTAGATAAACAGTCACATCACTGATATCCCAAGAGTTGTGTGGCATGCTAATTGGGCTAGGAAGAGGATGGCCACATGTTCTCTGCCCATATCTCACCTGAACATTTAAGGTTTACCTTTCAGCTATTCGTTGACAGCGACGATTCAGTTACTTAAGCTATTGGACATGACAAGGAGTTAACATGTATGTAGCGGGTGTGCTTGCGCCACGAGTTCGCCTCCGATTCATCAATTGTGGAAGTGCCATTTGGCTAAGACTACTTCCTCTGGCTAACCCAACCTGGATAAAGAAGTGGCCCTTTATAAATTAGTGGGGATAGATAGGTTTGATTACCCTATGGCCTATACTAGTGAGGGATGCCTTGTGATGTGCCCTGAGTGAGCTCATGATAGTGAGGTCATAGTACATATCTTTACCTTAATCAAGCAATCTTGAGTAAGCTCTGCTAAAAAAAAAAGCAAGCTTGAGTAAGCAAATGATCTGACAGGTAGATTTGCATCGAGAGTTGACTCCCGTAGAGTACATAGATGATTGTTTGTGTTGCTGATGAATTCATTTAATCATCAATCAATGTACGTACGTATCTGATTTTTGGAAAGAGTGCATGCAGGGGACAGGTGGCTGAGGCCTGAAGTGATCGCTGAGCCGGAGATCACCATCACCGATCGGACGGTGGAGGACCAGTGCCTGATCCTGGCGAGCGACGGGATGTGGGACGTGATCGACAACGACATCGCCTGCAACGTCGCCCGCCAGGTCCTGGAGGACTGGAACCCGTCTCCCACCGACCCCACCGCCGCCGCTGCAGCTGCAGGAGGAGCTCCGGCCGCCGCTGGCGTAGTCGTCGGCCACCAGGAGGAGCCCCGGTGCCTCCGCGCTGCCTTGCTCCTGGGCAGGCTCGCCCTCGCCAGGGAGACCGAGGACAACATCAGTGTCATCGTCGTCGACCTGAAGCACAGGGAGTGAGCATTGGCCGTAGGCTGCTTTGTTGCCATGCCGGCCTGTACGTCCGAGTCGACTTAATCGATCTAGGAGTGAACTGGTACTGTGAGGAGGTGATGATCGTCTAGACCTGACATTTCCTTCGTTCTTTCGATTCTAAGACAAGAAGATTCTAGTTTTTTTTTTCTTTCGGTAAAAGTGGATGGAAGATTGCCGTCCTTAAGTTAAATGAAAGGGAACAAAAAGAGGAAAAAGAAACAAGGAAAAGAGAGCAATTGTACAGCATTATTAATAGTAACTTGTTTCCATTTTCTCAAGGACAAGGATTGAGGCTAAGCTAGCTACAGTCTCTAGGTTGTTCTGAAGTCCGCAGCCTGGGGGCTCGTTCGGTTCTTGGGGATTGAAGGCCTCAGACCATTTCAACTTGGAATGGTTCACAAATTTGTAAACATTCCAAGTTGGAAATTTGTGAACCATATCCCAAATTGGAATGGTTACCGTTGCAGGCAGGAACCAAACGAGGCCTGATCGGACTTGAATGCTGTAGTTCGATCATGTGGCTTCATTGATTTGGCTGGTGTCTCTGCTTGGCTACGTTCTGTTCTGTTGTCTACTGCTAGGGGTGTGGGTGCATTTTTATTGCAGGAACATTAAGAGACACTGATGTTGTCTCTGCTTGGCTACGTTCTGTTCTGTTGTCTGCCTGCAGGGTGCTCACTCTCGATCTTCAGCTCTCAATGCAGCAGATGGTAAAGCTGTCAGATGACAGATGCCATAATAATATTCTTGCAGTTTCTTTTTTATTTTCGAAATACATTGCAATCATTCAGCGGAGGAACGAACGATCTTCTCGTCTCAATGCAGGGGAAGTACTCTCTCCGTCCAGAAAAGAATACAACTATGGGTTGCGTGTCAGAAAAAATAGTTCATGTTTGACTAAATTTCTTGTGAATAATATTCATATTTATGGCTTCGAATCAATTTATTATGCAAATACATTTCGTAATTAATCCAATAATATTTATTTAATATCATAAATATTGATACTTTTTTATCTATAATTGGTTAAACTTAAGATATTAAAATGTGACACTGTGTTAGAATTGCATTCTTTATTGTACCGAGGGAGTACATTGCAATCGTTCATAAGTCTCATCTCTTTACCTATCGCATCTAAAGGTTCTGTACCGTGCTTGACTTTATGAGGTCATTATCTTTGCAAGATTAACATGGAATAGAATTGACTCCAGATTGTAAAAATCTCTATGAATTAGATAGGTAGACAACACTTACTAGCTCTTCTTCTTGGTCCTCAGCTCCCATGTCAACGGACTCCCGGTTCCATATATATATATATATTTGTAATCCTCGCTACTTCTCCTATAATTGTGCTATAATGTCTTGTAGTTGCCATTCAATTGACCTATAGGCTCGTCAACCTCAAATCACTCTGAATCATCTATAATATTTTTTTTGTTAATTTCGTTACAATTTCAAGATGTGAACATGAGCTTTTAATTACAGAGTTTGGTTTTTAGTGTGAGCTCATGCAATTTTTGTCGCACTAATTGGTATAAAGTAGACCTGAGCATTTCTCCAATTAGACCAAGAACTTCTAAAAGGTTCTCGAAAAAGAGGTAGAAAAAGTCCAAAGGCTTTTTATGTTAGAAAATTGTGCCCACAAATATTACATGAGCCGCATCGGGCTAGCTCTTTTGCCATGGGCTTGGGCTGGGCCTAGAACACACCCACTGTTTCTTAGTGTGAAAATAATTCAATTAGGCAGGTTGAATTTTTATCTTTTGTTGTCAGAGTTTTTTGATTGCTAGTTGTCGGAAGAGTGTAAGTATCCATAGGGTTTTGGTCGCTTGATTTAGAAGAGGCTATAATAGCTGTAGAGGTTTTTGTCACTTGTTGACAGAGGGACATTGGTAACCGTAGGGCTTTTTTGCCACTTGATTTTGAAGAAGTTAATTAGCCATTGGGCTTTTTGTCGTTTGCTGTCAGAAGGGCATCAGTAGCCATAGAGCTTTTTTGCCTCTTGATTTTGAAGAGGCATGGGGGTTTTGTCGTTTGCTATTGGAAGGGCATTAATAGCCGTAGGGTTTTTTTGCCACTTGATTTCTAAGAGACATTATTAACCATTGATGGAAGATTGCCGTCCTTAAATTAAATTAAAGGGAAAAAAGAGGAAAAAGAAACAAGGAAAAGAGAGCAATTGTACATAGTAACTATGATATGATGATGCGACATTTATGTGCATTATTAATAGTAACTTGTTTCCATTTTCTCAAGGACAAGGAGCGAGGCTAAGCTAGCTGCAGTCTCTAGGTTCTGCAGTCCGCAGCCTGATCGGAATCGAATGCAGCAGTAGTTCGATCATGTGTCTTCATTGATTTGATTTGCCTGGTGTCTCTGCTTGGCTACGTTCTGATCTCTATTGTCTGCTGCAGTTGGTGTGTGATGCATTTTTATTGCAGGAACTTTGAGAGAGCAGTAGCACTGCCTGCAGGGTGCTCACTCGATCTTCAGCTCTCTTCAAGTCTCAATGCAGCAGAAGGTGACGCCGTCAGATGCCATATTAATATTCTTGCAGTTTCTTTTTTTTATTTTCGAAGTACATTGCGATCATTCCGTGGAGGAACGAATGATCTTCAGGTCTCAATGCAGAGCAAGTAGCCAAATATACATTGCAATGATTCAGAAGTCTTTTTCTCTTTACCTATCGCATCTAAAGGTTCTGTACTGTGCTTGATTTTACGTGGTCATTACCTTTGCTAGATTAACATAGAGTTGACTCCAGATTGTAAAACTCTCTATGAATTAGATAGGTAGACAACACTTACTAGCTCTACACACATACGTATGTTGTGTTGGAGCCCTTTGCATGACTGACTAGCTTAACTAGCTCAGGTCGTCAAAAACACTGACGCGACACCGTACGTGCAAGAAAAAAATTGAGGCGGTCTGCGGATTTACCCCATATATCGACTATTGGTCACCATTATTCTTGCCTTCTCGTACTTGAGCATGCAATGCAGGTTTGTCTATCATGTGGAATTAGGGACTTCCTGCGATTCTGTATCTTGTAATTTTGTCATGTGAGGCATCAGTCACAACTTTGATCTCCCTTCGTTCGTTCTTGGGCTGTTCGTTTCCAACACTTAATAATCTAGTTTATTTTTGTCAACCTCTACAAGTTGAGGGAATAAATCATCAGTTTATAAAGTTTTGTCAACCAACTTACTAGATGTGGGAAGGTGGAGAGGAGAGTTAGTCATTAAATAATCTGAAAAAAATATCCATAGAAGAGTTTATTGGATTATCGTAATCTAGGTGTTTTTGTTTTGTCAAGCAAAATTCCACGAGCTCGAGGTCTCGGCTTCCTCACACTTCTCAACAATGGTACTACAAAGTTTTCATACATTCAGATTGTTAGAAAAGTAACATAGATATCAAATAGCTAGTGCGAATTAATTGATAGACATCTATAAGGTAATACTAACCTAGCCAACTTTTATTGTTCTGCGGGTGGGTGGAGACGGGAGTTTGCTCAGAGGGCTCCTCTTCGGCATGGCTATCATCATCTGGACGTGGGCAGTCTCTCACAGTGCTAGGTAGCTCATAGGGCTCCTCTTTGACATGACTATCATCATGTGGCCGTGGGCAGTCTTTCATAGGGCTAGATAGGGTGTCGTCCCGACAAATGTCTCCAGTCAATTCATGAAGTTTGAATTGATCCCTGGGTACAGGTATCCGTGCTGATAGAGAATTATGTTCACCTACTACTGATACCTCCACCCTTTTGCCAGCGGCAGCCCTCCGAGTACGAACTCCATGAGCAAACTCTCCTGGTCGTGTTGAATTCACTCGCATGGAGTGCCTTCGCCCAGGACTCATGGCAGCGCTGCCTTTTGTCCTACTGGCAGAGCCTACTCTATGGCTCCTTCGACCTAGACATTAAAATTAAAGATACAAACTTAAGCAGCAAGCATGTACAAATTGCATTGATATCCAAACAGTAAAACATTGCATTGCTACCTACCCCCCTCCGAACTAAATACAAGATAGAACAAGCACCTCAATTGCTAGGGTACCAGCTCATCTTCTAAATCTAAATCTATTTCATCTATAACATCAAATCCCTCTGCAAGGAAAATGGACCCTAGGCCTATTTACTTTGAATTTTGATGTTTGAAGACCAACACAACCAAATTGGACTAATGAATTTACAAGTAATTGTTTTGTAGTTCAATAGGGTGCAAAAAGTGACTTGGATGAAGGTGACATGATGATCCCACGATTAACACCATAAGCAAGACCCTAGAAGCACAAGGGAAGACCTAAGATATCAAGCATAGTCCAAGCACAAAGATGGGAATCAAGCCGGACGTAAGATCACGAAGAAACGAGCTCGGCAAAGGTGATTGGACGCGGCCCTTATAGGCACTGGACGCGTCTGATCAGTTGCTTGGCAACAGCAGGCGTCAGCAGCTGTGACCGAACGCTGAGCGAAGCAGTGACCGGATGCACCGATGACACTGTTCTTCATCACGACAATGTTTTCAGTGTGACCAGACGCAGCGGCACTGGACGACCCGACGCACAAAGTACAGCGTCCGATCGAGTCTAGAGGTTCCAGAGCTGCACCAGCGTGACCGGACGCGTCCGATCAAGTGAGACCGGACTCGGCCTAGAGTCTGATCAACGTGCGTGCTCTAATGGTCGGGACGACAGCAGCGTCCGGTCAGTAGTAGAAAGCTAGGTTTCGCCCCCAATGGCTACTTTCTTGGTGGGGATTATAAATAGACCCCCGAACCGGCCATTTGAGATGTGGAGAGCTGAGGAAACATACAAAGGGTGTTGATATATAATTTTAGTGATCTCCAATTGCATAGTGCTTAGTGATTCATTAGGTGATTAACATAGGTGTTTTGCGAAGTGCTTAGGTTGATTAGACCACCGCTTATACGCTTGCTTTAGGTTTAGGCCTAGTGTTTAGTGAGGTTTACACACCTCTTATC